TCTATTTAGGAAGATAGATTTAACTCGGGGGCAAACTATGGCCGAAAGCCAAATCTGGCCTGCCACCATCTTTGCAAATAAAGTTTTATTGGCGCACAGCCATGCCATTCACTTACTTATTACCTGTGGCTGCTGTTTTGCTACATGGGCAGTGTTGAGTGGTTGTGACAGGGACCGCGGGGCTTGCATAGCCTAAAGTATTCACTGCCTGGCCCTTCACAAGAGAAGCTTGCTGACCCTGGCCTGAACAGAAGGCAGCCGGGGTCATGGCTGTGCAGCTGGGGTTTTCCTAGAGAGAGACAGAAGGTGGGCCAGGACTTATAAGAGGCCGTGGGGGGTTTCTGCACCAGCCATGTGGGGCCTTTGTCAGAAAAGGAGCTGCTTGGGGGTGCAGATTGCTGGCAGGCAGGTTAAAGAAATGGTCAAGTGGCCTGGTGGGGTCCGTGGCCCACAGGAGCGTACCTGCCGCTTCTCAGCTCGGCCCCCTGGGGCCTCAGGGGGCTGTGAGCCCAGAGCCACCAGAGCATCTGATTTTCCAAGAGAAGCTGGCGGTCTGGTTTTCATGGGAACTGTCCTGAGTTTTTACACGCTTGCAGCTAATTCCTTTTTAAAACGTCATGAAGTCTTGTACATCTGGTGTGTGGGCTGTGGGTATAGGAACTCGGGCGCCCAGGGTGGAAGTGAGGAAGGTGTGCGAGTGTGGGCAGACCTGGGGAGCACAGCGGCCCATCGCCCACAGGTCCCTCTTTCACAGGATGGCAGGCAGCCTCTGAGCTGGGGGAGGGCACAAAGGGGGCGGAGGGAAGTAGGGGGCGTGGCAGAGCCCTGGACTTGCAGTGTTAGGTTTCCAGGTCTCCCATTCTATCTGGAGCTGGTGGAACATTCCTGCCTGCAGGCTTGGGCACAAGCCCAGAGTTGGACACCCGCCCTTGCTTACCTGGCCGCCCCTAGAGGGGACTCAGTAGCAGCTGTAGGGTGAGGGGTGGGAGGTGGAGATCTCTGAAGTCCCCCGAGAGATTCTCAAGGGTTTGGGTTTCCTGCTTTGTCCTCCAGGACTGAGTCAGTGGCAGGAACCTTGTGGGGTGATGGGCAGCAGCTGGGCCTGGAGCCGGACAGGCCTGAGTGGACCCCAGCTCATGGTTCCCTGGCTCCTGTACCTCTGAGATGGAGATGATCCCTCCCATTGCAAGTTGCTATGACAATCCAAGAGAAGGTGGGCGTGGCAGGGCTGGTTTTCCAGGGCATCCTGGTGTGCCTGTGATGGGGCCTGGCCTCCCTGGGGGCAGCTCTGTTCTCCCAACAGCATCTGGGGTGCCAGGCTATTTTCAGCCTCACAGGTCGGCCCTCACCTGCTGATTCAAAGTGCTGGTTTCTGAGTGCCCATTGGCACCACTGTGGGTTTATTATTCATTTTAGGCAGGATTTTTGGTTGCAAGTGACAACAGTTCAGGTCAACTTGGCTTAAGCAAGGAGAAAACCATAGCTTAGGAACCGGAAAAGTCCCAGGGTAACTCTGCCCTCAGGCAAAATTGGATTCAGATGTTCTGATGATATTGTCAGGTCTCTGTCTTGCTCCATCTCCCAACTCTGCTTCCCTGTGTTGGCGTCCTGCTCAGACAGGCCCCCCAGTGTGGTGGCAGAAGTGTCCCTCAGGCTCGTGGCCCACCCTCATAGGAACCTGGGGCAGGGGGAACAACCCTGTCTCAAAAGCAAGAGTCTCAAGGCTGTTTCTTATTGGCGCAGCTTGGGTCACATGCTCATCCCTGGACCAATCACTGCTCAGGGCGGTCAGGCCTCCTCTCACCCCTCCTGCAGCTGTGGGGTGGGGTGGGAAGGGCAGCCTGGGTGGGCGCTGACACAAGTGATCCCACAGGAAAATCAAGATGCTGGCACCAGAAGGGGAGGTGGAGGCTGGACAGGCAGAAACAGCACACGCCCACTCCACACCCACCCAACCTCCAAGAGCAGTTTGGGACAGAAGCGGCCACATTCCGAGGCTCCCCCCGCCCTGGCTCATCACAGGCCACGCCTTCCTGGCTGACCTCAGGCTCACTGCTCCAACCAGCTGTGAGTCACTTTCCCTCATTTCTCCACGTGCTCCAAGATGTTGTCAGTGGCTCGGTCCAGAGCCGAGATGGAGCTACCCCAGCCTCCACAGCCTTTTTCTCATCATCCAGGCTGGGGGCCCTTTGGAAAAGGGAGGGCGAGCTTGTTTGGAATGGCTTGTTCTCATGAGCCCTTGTGGGTTCCTCGAGAGAACTGCCTTTTCTGAGTGCACACGCAGCAGCTCTGCAATAATCCACGGTCCCGTCTGGCTGGGCTCACCTCTCCCTGCAACCCCCTTCTTCTGGCTTTCCGAATGCAGGAGTGACGTTTCCTTCCATCACCAGGAAAGACGCCACCGTTTCTTGCATTAGATCTCACTGGAACTAAAGACGTGGTTGCCTCTAAAGCTGCTGAAAGTCTCTTCTGATCACTTCTCCTTGTTTCCTTCATAATTATGTTGATTTTCCTCCTTTTTTGGAAGTCTGTCTCCTTGAGGGAGGAGGCAAAAGCCCCATCCCTGTTGGTAGAACCATTTCAAAAAGAACAGGACGTCGGGATGTGGCCCGGCAGCCCCAGCAGAGGCCAGGACACTGGTGGGACACCGCCTCTGGCCTGGTCTCATCACTGACCTTGAGGGCCCCTCATGGGCCCCTCCCCTTGCTTGGGCCCTAAGCCTGTCTTTTCAGGATCACAAAATGCTCTTTGGCCCCCACGCCTCGTATCAGGATGAGGGAGCTGGTCTTTGAACTGCCATAATTCCCTTGAATGTTGTTTTCTAGATGATACTGCAGTGGAGGAAAACAGGGTGAAGAGAATCTAAAACTGGGGGTCATCCAAACATCGCACCGTCCTGGCTGTGAGATGCACCTTGTGGCTCCTTCTCATTGGGCTCTGGTCTTGGTGCTATTGGAGGACTTGTGTCTGATCTTAGGGGGTGGGATGCAGCCCAGGGAGGTGCTGGGAGAAGGGGGTGGGTCGGAAAGGCCTGTGTCCCAAGTATCCTCCACGTGGGCTGAGCCCAGGTGGGCTGACTGGGGGCTGAGTGGATGGAATGTTCCGTTTGCCCTTTTGTGAGGCTGGCGCCTTGGCCAAGGGGAGTTGCTCAGCCTGGTTTTCCAGATGTGGGAGGAATGCGGTCCCTCGACATCTGACCACGTTCTGCCTTATTTAAAATCTTTTGATGGTTTCCTTGTGCAACAGAGAGGGCTTGGTGTGGGGAGAGTTCAGGGCTTTGGGGCTCAGGCATTAGAACCTGTCCTCTCCCATCCTAAACCCAGCTGTTCTCACCTGTAGGGGAACACCTGCAACAGCCTCATCTCTGCTTCCTCCTTTCCCCTACAGTCTGTCCTCTGCTCTTTCTAAAACATACATCCAATTACACACACACTCGCCCTCCCAGTGACCGGCTTCAATGGCTCCTTGGTCTCCTAGGAAGTTCGTAGCACGGCCTTCAAGAGCCCAGGTGACCTGGCCCTGGGTTACAGCTTCATCCCTGTCCACACACTGACCTAACTCTAGACGAGCACTTTCAGTGCCCACCGTGCCACACGGCACCAGTCTGCAGCCTGGAAACCCATCTCTCCCTCTGGGTGGGTGAGCTCCTAGGTAGCTCCCTGAACCCTCCAGGAGGAGTCATCCGGGCTCTGCAGGCCTCTGTGCCTCCTGCCAATAGCCTTCGTCCCATGGTGCTGTGGTTCTTCTGTGTCCCCACCAGATGGCAAGATCCAGGATGGCTGGGACCGCAGGTGTGTCCTCAGCACAGAGAAGAGGGCCTGGTCGGTGTTGTTAACCACGGGCCAGAGCCCCACATCCTTGCCCTGGCACCTGTCACAGCAGCTGCAGGCTGGGCCAGAGCCAGGGCTCAGCCAGAGGTGCCACAGGTGGCTAGGAGATGAACAGTCCGAGCTGTGAGGGGCGGGGGAGTGCGTGGTGAGAAGGACCCCCAGTAGAGACATATAGAAACCTCCCTCTGCACCCCTGGGAGCCCCACACGCCTGCCCATCCCCCTGCTGAGTCCACCTGGAGCCCCACACCTGGTAGGCCCTCCCTCCTCTGGGTGGTCACAGTCACTGGGATCAGCCCTGGCTCTATGTGAGGACAATTGCATGAAAGCTTTGAAGCACCCTGATGCCCAGGCCACACCGCTGACCCGTGACATCAGACTCAGGGCAGGACCTGGGCATAAGCATCCGTAACTCACCCAGGAGATTCCCATGTACAGCCAAGTCTGAGGTGGTTTTTCCTTCAGATGCATACATAGCCTGGCGGGTCCTGCCACCTAGAGCTCGGGAAGGGGTGCATGATGGGAACGCTCCCCTTCCCAACCTCGACAAAACCCACGCCAGAAATATTGGGTTGTTGGAAAAGTCATGACGCATTTTTGCAATGAAAAACATAGAAAAAATACGTCATGACTTCCAACAACCCGATAAGTAAGCAAGTCCTAAAATGTTTTTTGTGTTTTTTTGTTTTTTGTTTTTTTAACGTAACACGTGCATACAGCATACGCTTCAGGCAGCACAGATGGGTCCTGAGGGAAAGAACAATCAGCCTTCCCCCCCACCCCCACTTCTTCTCCCAGCAGCAGGCTCTGCGCCCAGGCTCCCAGGGTGGGGGCCCTGCAGGGCTGTCTGTGCCACACGCGTGCAGGTGTAAGGGCCCCTTTGCTCATGTGTGCGCCTTGCTTTCTCCGTCATTCCCTGTGAGAAGCGGGCTCTGCCTGTTGTAGCTAACGCCCGCAGAGTGCTCCATCCAGGACAGGGACCAACACGGTGGCCCAGCTCCCCGCAGACGGGTGGCCTGGGCTCTCACAGGCAGAGCTGCCAAAGTGTCACCAAGTCTTTGGTCACATGTGCGACTGCCCTGCAGGATGAATTCCTCCAGCTGGAATTCTTGGGTCACAGAGCAAGTGGAGTCACATGACTGATAGGGCTCCCCGTTTTCTGTCATTCCAGAAACTGTCTACACCGACTCCCCCGACGTACAAGCTGCCCACATTGTACAGGACCGAGGACTATTTTCCTGTGGACACCGGGGAGGCAGCCCCCCAGACTCCCAGCTGCCATCGGCGTCTGTGAGTGTCGTGGTCCTGCCATCACGGACGTCGGCAAGCAAACCTGTACAGGGCAGCCTAGGTTTTTCTTTTTAATGTATTATTTATTGCTGTTGATTTGTTGGCTGAATTCCCCTTCTCATGGGAGGCCACGGGGCTTGGAGAAGCAGTTGGAACCGCGCGTGGCAATGCCTCAGGGAGGGGCTGGAGAAGGCATTTCCCACAAGTGTTCGGCCTGCCTGGTGTTCTAGGAGGAGGTGGTCAGGTCTGACGAGTCACCGTGTCTGAGGGACAGGGAGCACTTTCTCTCTGAAGGGCTTTGCATGGGAATCGTGGGAGACTTACTTGGTGCCACCGGACTGTGTGTTTCCAGGTCCATCCGTGTGGGATGGTTTGTCCGCAAACCCCAGTGGCAGCTGGCCTGTGAATTGTGTCAATAAAGGTGTCAAAAGGTCATGCGTGGTGTGGGTGTGAGAACTGGGGGTGGTGGGGGGTGATGACATGATCCTTTTACACTGTATACATGTTTCCTTGAAGGGTCCTCCTGTCACCTGGACAAGCCTGCCCCTGGGACTGTGCTCCTGATAAAGCCCCTGGCCTGCACCTGCCAGGGGGGGTGCAGCTTGGGGGCCTCAGATTCCCAGCAGGCATGCAGAGGTCATTAGGACTCCCCATCTTCAAAGATGTGTTTGCCATCATTTCTTCTCGTGTAGATGAGTTTCCTGCTGTTATCCTGAAAGTCCATAGTCCTCACTTTAGTAATGGCTATTTGTAGTTTGTCTGGAATGCCTCACAGAGCCAAGAACACACACACACACACACACACACACACACACACACACACACACACACACACACACACACACACACACACACACACATGATCCCCTGAACAGCAGACTTGCATTAGAATCTCAAGGAAATCTAATTAACGTATCAGGGATGACAGCTGCCAAAAGTTGAGTCTTGC